TGATTTCTAATTTAATTCCATTTTGATTGGAACATAATACTTTGATGAATTTCAATTTTTTGAAATTCAGTAAGACTTGGTTTATGGTTTATACTAGAGAATGTTCCCTGTGTACTTAAAAAAAATGTGTATCTTTTGTTAGGTGTAATGTCCCATAAATATTAGATAAAGCTCATAAATAATGTTCAAATCTTCTCTATCCTTACTATTTTTTTAAACACATTTTTTAGTTGTAGTTGGACACAGTATCTTTATTTTGTTTTTATGTGGTGCTGAGCCTTGCACATGCTAGGTGAGTGCTCTACAGCTGAGCCACATCCCTAGCCCCACTTTTTTCTTGTAGTTCCTTTTTTTTAGTTATTGATGGTGGACTATTGAAAATTTCAAACAAAATTTCTGGATTTTCTATATTTTTTTCACTTCTGTTAGGTGTTTTTACATTTCTAATTGCTGTATTCTCTCTCTCTTTTGAAATGTCTGTATCTAATAATATTATTTATTATCTGTTTTGTTAACATAACCATTCCACCTCTATTATGGTTACTATTTGCATGGCTTTTTTCCCCATCCTTTTACTTTCAACCTACATGTGACTTTGAATCTAAGATGTTTCTTTTGTAGACAAAATGTCATTGGATCTTATTTTTTTTAATCCAGTCTGACTATTTTTTGAGTAGAGTGCTTAGCCCATACACATTTAATATGATTGCTCATATGGTCTGTTTTATGGCTGTCATTTTGCTGTTTTTTTTTTTAATTAATATATTTGTTTCTGTTTTTTGTTCTTCTTTAACTGTGTTCTCATTATGAAGAGTCGTTTCCAGTCACATTCTGAACATATTTCTTCATTTTTTTTTTTTTTAAGCAAACAATGACCTTACAATGTTATGTGTAGATCTAGATTGGGGTGAATTTTCACCTTCCTGCAAGATCCTGCCAATACTACCTGAGCAAAAGTGAGCACTGGCTCACATCACCTCCTCACAGACAGGATGTAACATCAGCTGCTTTTCAGGCCTCACTCATGGGTGAGGGTAGGGAAAGGGGAGATAACATGCCCTTACTTCCAAATGCCTTCTTTGTGCACATGGAGTCTCAGCTCCCCGCTGTAGCTCTATGACTTAATTGTAATAGTAATAGAATAATGAGGTAATGTTTCAAGTTTTTTAGGCAAGTGAAAACTTGACAGATATGAACCAGTAGAATTATATGAGTCATCAGTTAACTGCCTATGTCTATCAGAAGTGTGTCGCTCAAACCATACATTAGGTTTTAAGAAATGCAAAACGGTCAGTGAAAAAAATTTTTTAGTAGGCAAAATGGTTACTTTGAAGAAGTCTGTGTGTTTCAAAGACACAAGCAAAGGAGATGACATGTATAGTGGTTGCAAATATTTTTATTTGGAATTTTCCTTAAAATTCAGGGACATAATTTTTCCTTCTTAAAGACAGATCCAGTTACATGAACAGCCCAGCTCATGTGTCTTCTGGCAGGTTTAGAAATACTTTGAAACCTCAACCAAAGATTTCCTGACCAAAGAATAATTTTATGCCAACATTATGTGGCACATTCATTTCTATACTTGGAGTAGTGTTGGGAACACTGAAATAAGAGGGGAGAGTGATAGAGATGGTTGGTGTATCAGGGATTGTTGCGTCATTCTCCTTTTCATCATTGTAGGAATGAAAAATTGCTCCAGTCACTTCCATCTACTGTCGGAGGAGAAGCATTCTCTATTCCCAATTTGGGGAGGGAATATAGGAAAGGGCAGAAAGGTAGTTTATAAAGGTAGGACATGGTGACAGATTATTGCTAAGGATAGGAAGTAAAAAAAAAAATTGGGAAATCCAAAATTCCTTGTAAGTTTTTAGCTTTTGTAACTGAAAGAATTATAATACTATTGACAAAAACAGGAAAGATGCTACAGGAGATTCATGGTCATGATGCTGTTTTAATTTGATTTTGAATTATTCATTTAGTTTATAGTAGTTTCTGTGTTTTTAAAGATCCTAAAAGCACTTTGTAACTTTCCAAAAGCAGTTTTATAAAGATATAATTTATAGTACATAAAATTTGCCCACACTTGTATACTACAAAATTCAGAGAATTGTATAATTCAATTAATTTAGTATATTCACAACCATCAAATCATTGCCATATCCATACTATACCATCTAATTTTAGAATATTTATATCACCCTAAAAAGAAACCCCATACCCGCCTCTAGCCCCGGGTAACCATTGATCTATTTGCTTCTCCATATCCTTTTCTAGACATTCATATAAATGGAATATTAAGATGTGGGAATTGTGACTTTTTTGTGTCTGGCTTCTTTCACTGAGCTTAATATTTTTGAGGCTTGTTCTTTGCACTTTTGAACATGAGTTTTATAGCTAACAGTAAATGACATATGCACTACACATGAGTCATGTAGGTAAATTATATATAAAACCAGCCAGTGTAGGGGGAATCTTTCTTTCTTTTTTTTTTTTTTTTAAGAGAGAGAGAGAATTTTTTTAATATTTATTTTTTAGTTTTTCGGCGGACACAACATCTTTGTTTGTATGTGGTGCTGAGGATCGAACCCCGGCCGCACGCATGCCAGGCGAGCGCGCTACCGCTTGAGCCACATCCCTAGCCTGGGAATCTTTCTTAAAAATTGAAAGTATTAAGCTCCTCCTCTTGCCTCCTAGACTAGACTTGACAATGTGCCTGTATTAGGGAGTTAGTCATGTACTACTGAAAACAGAACAAACTGTTGTAAAGACAGATGTTTCCTCCTAGTTCTAATAATGAAAATGGAGAAATTTAGTACATTGTAGGAATGCCTCATGTGGGTTCATTTAGCACTTGAGTTTGAATAGTGTCAGGTTTGGTGGTACAAGCCTGTAATCCTAGAGACTTGGGAGACTGATGCAGGAAAATGGTAAATTTGAAGCCAGCCCAGACAATTTAGCAAGACCCAGTCTCAGAAAAAAAAAAAAAAAAGGTCTGGGCATGTACCTCGGTGATAGATCGCCCCTGGGTTCAATCCCCAGTACCAGGAAAAAAAAAATGGTGATAAGATAAAGTGATTTTATTAATGTTTATTATGCATCTATAGAGGTTTACTTTGTTGTATGTTTGCTAACATAAAGGATCAGTATATAACAGTTATAGTCATTTTTAAAGATTAGATGCTGAGATAGAGATCTGTCATGGAATGTTGACAGTATTTAGGTTGGAAAGAAAACCCCATTAGTTTCATTTTGAATTTTTAGTGAGTTATTTATTGAGATTCTATTTCAATATCCTTGTCCAAATGAATATGGATTGTGGACTAAAGAAATTATCATTTACTGCATTAGTCTTGATTATCTTGATCAAGCCGAGTAAGAATAGACCTAAATTATAAAGAAGAGAGAAGGGATGGAAAAGGTACCACATATTGCTACTAAAAATAATTTGTCTATTCTGCTACGGTAAAGATATATTTATTTGGGCTGGGGCTGTGGCTCAGTGGCAGAGCGCTTGCCTAGCATGTGTGAGGCACTGGGTTCGATCCTCAGCACCACATAAAAATAAATAAATAAAATAAAGGTATTGTGTCCATCTACAACTAAAAAATATTTAAAAAGAGAAATGTATTTATTTAAATATTTATACTAGACCAGCACTTTGTGTTATTGCCCTAATTTGATTAATGTAACATGTAAATTATTAGCTCCTTGTCTTATTGACATATCAAACTGTAAATATATCAAAGCATAATTGTTTACTTCATAAATATCACTTAAAATATCTTAATTTGAAAACCACCCTGGTTAGATAGTAAATAACTATTCACATTTTTTATGTGGAGTCACATTTGAAATAATTATTAACAACATAATCTAGACTAATCTGAGTAAAAACTATAAAGTAGGAAATTTAAGTACATCTCTCTCCCATATCTTCTGCTCACTTTTCCCCTTTGGTACATCTTTCCCAGGGGTTTATTAAATACTGTCCTTTTCTTTTATAGTAAGTTGATTTACATTACGTTACTAAGGTTTTAACACTTGCCTTTCCAGATGTACAATTGTTTGAAAAGAAGATTAACAACTATTATGGTAGATTTTTCTATGAGCTTGTCGGGGGAAGGGAGATGGAAAGCAGAGAGCAAAGTATTTAGCTCCTCCTTTTGCCTCCTAGACTAGACTTGATGATGTGCCTGTATTAGGGAGTTAGTCATGTACTACTGAAAACAGAATAAACTGTTGTAAAGACAGATGTTTCTTCCTAGTTCTAATAATGAAAATAGAAAAATTTAGTACATTGTAGGAATGCCTCATGTGGGTTCATTTAGCACTTGAGTTTGGCATTCTGTTGATCATTATGGTATCATTTTCTTCTTGTGCACTAAGTAAATATGGGTGACTTTAAACATACTCCTTTACTTTTACTCCCTTCTGCCATTTAAATATGACATTTACCAGTAAATGGATGGAGAACGCCATCTAAGTGAAATGGGCTAGAATTAGAAAGTCAAGAATCAAATGTTTCCTTTCATGTGGAAGCTAGAGCAAAATAAGAAAAAATAAAGGAAGGGGTGGTCCCATAAAAATAGAAGGGAGATCAGTGGAGTAGAGGAAGGGGACAGAGTGGAGGAGAGGAGGGATGGGAAAAGGGAGAAAGCACTGAAATTGGTCAAATTATGCTATGTACCACAGTGAGTTTCACCTTTATATACATGTATTTTGAGTGCACATGTATATCATTCACACATATATGGAAGACCAGTAGAGTAGAGGAAGGGGAACAAAGGGAGAGGAAAAGCAAGTATTGAGAACTGAAATGTAATAAATTATATTCCATGTATGTATGATTATGTCAAAATGAGCTCCAATATTATGCGTAACTACCATACACTAATAAAACATTTTAAAATAGATTTGTCCATAAGGATCCCTACTTTATAAGATTATTCTGAGTAATGAATGTTCCCTTTGTTTTTATTTTTTGTTTTGTTTTCTTCTAGGCTGTATTCATCACCAAAGAAAAAACTTACACCAATGCAGAAATCGGTTAGTCCATTAGTATGGTGCAGGCAAGTTTTGGATTACCCAAGTCCTGATGTTGAATGTGCTAAAAAGTCTCTTATCCACAAACTTGATCAAACTATGTCAGGTATGTCTGCAACTTTACTGGTAAATTTATCTCTGTTTTTTTAAGTCAAAAAACATAAACATTGAGTGGTGCATTCTTCAGAAGCACCACTTGCTTAGTAACATTTTTCTAACCACATTGTGCATACCATCATGAGGGCTCTTTTTTCATTGACTTAATAACTTTTTAAAAAGTCTCGTTATTATTTAATCTCATTCATCCTTAGGAATAATCCCTGAAATTATAACTTTATGTGATTTTTTTTTCTAATGCAAGTTAAAACTAATAACTATTAAAATAAAACATTTGTTGCATATCATCTAAAATTATCTCACATACCATACTTTGGGGAAACACCAATGAAGTAGAAAAATAGAGGTAGACAACTAAAGAGACCTTGTTCTCACTTTTGCACTTAATTGCTGTGTGACTCCTCATATTATTTAGTTTTTATGAGCTCAGATTTCTTGTAAGACTGATGAGATTTAAAAGGTTATTTTTAAGGATTAAATGATAATGTATATGAAAGAGGCTGGAATGTTTTTTTGGATCACAGTAGGTGCTTAGTAAATGTATTTTTCATATTATGGTTTCTTTTTTCTATTTGACATTTTAGGTTTAAATTGCTGTTATGCTTTTTTGTTTAATAGCATTCAAAAAGCTGACAAAAATATGTCTGTGTCTACTTATGACATTTAACATAGCATGCCATTGTGGGTAGAAATGTAAGAAAAATGTAATCATTTCTCTCAGTCTTAAAACTGTTGTTTTCTGAAATACTCAGATGGTAAAGAATTGATGCATGATTATTAATCCTGGAAAAAGGTTTTGTTTTTCATTTTTCTTTGCATTTGCTTAGCAGTAGTGTACTTTAAATAGTGTATATTAGTATTATTATAGAAATATATGCTCTTTGGTTAGCATTTAAGCTGAAATTGGTCAGGGTACCAGAGGGAAGACTAGCTAAACTGGTATATAGTAAAATGAAAGGAGAAATGGTATATTTACAAATAACTTAACAGGATGTGATTATAGAGCTGCTGAATCTGAGATTGCTTTGATACTAAAGTCCTACTTTCCCTCTGTTTTTCAAAACAGTAGTCTTAATGTAATTTTCAAAAAAGTTCTGTCTGAAAATCAATTTGTTTTTAGAATTATTCTCTGGAGCTTGATTTAAGTTATATTCATAAGAAATTTAACTATGTAGGCAAGTGTGTAGACAACTTGAAATAACTGGAAGTTTTTGACCGAACTGCAGTTAGATATTATTTAAACATTTATTAAAAATATTCTTAGCTAGTTGTGGTGTCTCATGCCTATAATCCCAGCAGCTCAGGAGGCTGAGGCAGGAGGATCTCAAGTTCAAAGCTAGCCTCAGCAAAAGTGAGGTGCTAAGCAACTCAGTGAGACCCTATCTCCAAATAAAATACAAAATAGGGCTGGGCATATGGCTCAGTGGTCCAGTGCCCTTGAGTTCAACTCCTGGTACCCGCCCCCCCCCCAAAAAAATTCTTAGGATCAGTTTTTTTATACTTTGAGTACCATGTCTTTCCTTGGAAATAAAATAATTTACAACTTAATTAGGACTTTTTCACCATTCAACAGTAAATGTTAATGGCCTAGTGTTCTGAAGATTGTTCTCAGTTCTGAGGACATAGCAATAATAGATCAAAAAATCCCTTTTTTCATGGAACTTATAGTCTTATTGGAATATCAGGCAATAAGGAAATATATAAACTTTTTCTGTAGAGTCAGTTTAATCTTTGTGAGATGTGAGTCTTCTTACTGCTATGAGCACATTAACAGCCATAGATAATATGTAAATAAATAGGTATGGTTGTGTTGCAGTAAAACTTTGTTTACAAAAACAGGTGGTCTCTTGGATTTGGCCTGCAGGCTATAGTTCACCAATTCCTGGTTTCACACATTCTAAAAAACAGGAAATATTACCAGTTATTAACCAGTAATCTGTATTTGAGAGAGAAAAGCAAAGCTGCTGTACTACAAAAAGAGTAGTTGATTTTTGCTTTGTGTAAGTGAAGGAGTTTCTCTTGATCTAAAACTAGGTGCAATCAAGTACTAGATCTGTTTAACAAAGTCTTAATTGTATATATATGCACACAATAATAGTTATAGCTATAAACATAATGTATGTTTTAAATACATACATTTAAAATTTTTCAGGAAAAATAACTTAGCTATTGCAAGTTTGAACTTTCATTCCTAAACTACTCTTTTTCCAAGGAGATTGTATTTAAAATTTTTTTTTGATAAGGTAAGTCTTCCTGGGAATTTAGGTATTGTATTATAGAACAGTTTCTATTCATCCCATTTAACTTCTCTAAGGTGCAGTACCACATGATCCTAAACTCATCTTGTTTTTATGCTATTGCATTATCTTTTTTACCCTCTCTTACCCCTCCTGCTGTTTTCTTTTCTGTCTTCTTTGAAGGTGCTTCCATTTTTGCCAATGTGTTATTGTTGTTGTTTTGTAGTAAAATTAATATTGCACAAACTTTCCATTTTCACCCTTTTGAATGTATAGTTCATTGGCATTAATTAAGTACATTCACACTGATGTGAAACCATCACCATTGTCCATCTGTACAGAACTTTTCATCATCCTATACTGAAATTCTGTATCTGTATTAAACAATAACTTCCCATGACCCCTACCAACCCTCTGACTGCCTGTCTTTTGCTTCACATCTCTTGGTGTTTCTATCCACTTCTGTGGTGTCTAGTGTCATCTCTATTTGAATTAATCTCATTGATTCATTGTATATATTCAGCTTAGTTTTTTTGAGAGCCTTTTATGTATCAGACTTTAGGAAAAGGTGAGAGATGCAGGATAAAGAAAAATAAACACAACACTGTACCTGTACTCCTGGAGTATGTTATCTGGCAGAGGAATCTGAAAAATAATCCTTATAACTGATAATGTGTAATTAAGGAATGATATACAGTGCTTTGGGCTTTGAGAAACAAAGGGTTTTTTCTCAAGAAGTGATCTGAGTCCTAAAAAATTTATAAAAATGTAAGTGTACTAAGGAAGAAGGAGAGAATAGGAGGTGGGCATTGCAGATAGAGAGAATATATGCAAAGGCTCAATGTAAGAGAGCCAATGGCTTATATGAGGAACTGGAACAAGTCACTGTGGCTGGAGAAGAGTAAGGAAGGAAGAGATGTGACATAATTATAGTCAGAAAAATGTATAGGAGCCAGACCATGAGATCTTATAGGCCACATTAAGTATTCTGAACTTTATTTTAAGAACATTGGGAAAATATAGAAGTTTTATGTAAGAGTGTAAGATGATGGATTGGAAGATACTACCCAATTTGCACTTTAGAAAAGACATTCTTGCAGTAGTATGAAGAGCAGAGTGGAGAGGGCCAAGAGTGAATGTAGGATGCTCTTGACATTTCATGATGCTAGCTGGGTGGGTTGGGAAGTATAGGGGAAAAAAAACCAAACAAAACAAAACATTTTTTCTCTACTTACACACCATAACAATCAACACACAAAAGACTCTGTGATCTCAGAAGTTGGGGATATCTCCCCTCCAGGAAGAAAGCAATAAGCTTACAGTAGATATCAGCTGGGCTCCTTCCAATTCAGTTAAGTTCTAACACTGTCTACCTGGAGCTAGCATGAGATCCCACAGATTGAGAGTTCTGTCCCACAAGACTGTGCTCCATTCAAATGCCAATCGCAAGTCCAAGGTTGTAACCTGTGCTTTTAACTGACTGGCTATAATTAGGGTTTCTACTGTGCCTCTTCAGGATTGATTACATAGCTGGAGCAGCTCACAGAAATCAGGGAGACACTTAGGTTTGCCAATATATTATAAAGAATAATCCAAAGAACACAGATGAAGAGATGCATAAATGGAGATATGAGAGAAGGGGCATGGAGCTTATCTGCCCTTTCCAGGCATATCACCTCCCAGGAATCTGTACATGTTCAGCTGTCTGGAAACTCTTAGAACTCTGTTCTTTGGGGGGGCGGGGGGGCTTATGGAGACTACATTGCAAAGGCATGACCAAAGTACAGACAACCATGTTGAAATGTTACTGAACAAAAAGGGTATGATCTAATGCTACTAGACTGGGTGAGGAAACCTATCTGAACTCCAGATTCTTCAGCATTCCTTTCTTGTGAGTATGGGACAGAACACCTTCTGAAATTGAGGTCTTATAATCTTTCAGACAAGGTAGATCAAAGAATTTTTTTATGGCCAGCTTCAAGACAGGGAAGATTAGAGTTTCTGTGACCTATCTTAAAGAAGAAACTTCTAGTTTTTTTGGCTTGCCTTGGGGAAAGGGTTATGAGCCATGAACTTTACATGAAAAACAAAAAATACGTCATCAAGCAAATGGTAGTTGATGAAGTGAAAAAATGTGGCGAATCAGTTATGAGGAAATGAAGGAGAAAAAAAGTGTCAACAATTTTTGGTTTTTGGTACCAGGGATTGAAGCCAGAGGCATTTAACCACTGAGCCAGCCCTTTTTATTATTTTGAGACAAGATCTCGCTAAGTTACTTAGGGCCTTGCTGAATTGCTGAGGCTGGGTTTGAACTTGCAGTTCTCCTGCCTCAAGTCTTCTGAACTACTGGGATTACAGGCATGCACCAATGTTCCTGGATCAACAGTGATTTCTAGGTTTCCAGTTTGTATGACAGGATGAATGTTATCATTCTGAGAGAGGGACCCCTAGAAGAGAAATAGATTTTATCAGGAAGTTCATGAGTTTAATTTGATTTGAATTTTGGGATATATTTGCCATACCTCCAGAGGGACAATTCTGGGATATATTTGCCATACCTCCAGAGGGACATTAAATGAGTAGTGTGTGTTGGACTGATGTACAGAAGAAATTTAGGATTAGAAGTAGAAATAATGGGGAGCCTTTGGCAGATAGAGGATAATTGATGTTGTGTATATGTTTGAGATTTCTCAGGAGAAAGAATATGGCATAGAGTGATAGTGGTTAATAACTAAATAAAAGATAATAAGCTTTAGAGGAGATTGTAAAGGAATAAGGAGATAGAAATTTGCAAGCCTGTTTCTTCTTGGGTTGATGCTTCCATACTATGTACTAAATATGTATAAAATGTGGTGTCTCGTCTCACATGGTACAACAGAAAATGTGTTCCTCCTCCCAAAACTGCTACTCTGTCAGTAGGTAAACCAGAAACAAGGCACCTGTTTTTGTTTGTTTGTTTTATTTACTTTCCAGTTTTTCATATGCCCTTTTTCTTTTTTTCTTCTAATTTTCTAGTCTCTGTATACTGCCTACTTTAGCCTATTCAACATAACTATTTCCATCTCTGTTTTCCCCCAAATTGAATCACAGCACTTCTGCTAAAATTTACTGACTGCTTCATCTTTGCTATTCAATGGGTTTAAGACTCCTGAGCATAGTGTTCCAGGCCTCCCATGACTTGTTCCCAGCTACTTTTTCTGTGCTGTCCCTCCCATATGCTTTTCCACACTAGACTACTACTCCGTGTATTCCCTGAACATGCTGTGCATTTTCAAGACACTACTTTTGTTCATATTGTAAACACAGCACATTTGTACTTTATCCACTTTTAGTGGCCTATCAGATTACTACTCATCCTCTTAAGACCATTCAGTGCCTATTCTTCCAAAAAATATTACCCATTTTCTCAGTTGTAAAATTTCTCAGTTCATTTCTGTAACCTTCTGCACCTTTATTGTAGTACTTATTTTACAATTACTGTTTTTTTTTTTTTTTAGCCAATTCTATTTTACTAGCAAGCCTTTTAAGAGAAAGTACCATGTTATATTTGTATGTTTTCTACAACGCTTTGGCCATCCTAATAAATATTGAATAAGCTGTGGATTTTAGGATAGGATGGAAGGGAAAAATATTAGTTTAAGTATTGATTTTTCTTATATATAATTTCACTTGATATCTTAGTCCTTCTGTTGTACTATTTGTGTAATTTTATACAAAGCATGATTTTCTTGTAACAAAAGTATTATTTTGGGTGGGAATAAACTTTCTTTTTAAAAAGGCAAATCTCCTCCCCCCCCCCCCTTTTTTTTAATCTTTGACCCGACTTAACCAGTCATTATTGCTTTCTTTTTTCAAAACCCTAAAGGCCATTTTAAAAACCTAATATTTGCCAGGCATGGTAGTGCATACCTGTAATCCCAGCAATGTGAGAGGCTGAGGCAGAAAGATCACAAATTCAAAGCCAGTCTCAGCAACTTAGTGAGACCCTGTCTCAAAAAATAAAAAGGTCTGGGGGTATGACTCAGTGGTTAAGTGCCCTTGAGTTCAATCCCCAGCACCAAAAAATAAAAATAAAAACTTAATATTTTGTGCAGTTTTTAAAAATAATGTGTGTTTATAGAAAAATTAGGCACAAGTGTTTTCATATTTATTTTTAAAGCTCACACAGGATTGATGGAAGAGTTATTAAAGAAACACTTTCTCTAACAAGAGAGAAGTGAATTAATTTCATAGCCAGTAGCCTGTTTAGAATATGTTCTACCTATATTATTTTGTCATTTGATGTGGCTACTGTTTTGTTTGCATAACAGTTAATGAAAGTGTGTTGGGATTATATTTTTCCTACTACTATAAGTATGTTTATTTAAACTGAGATAATGATTTAACGAATTTTTAATAGGAAAACTTTTTAATAAAATGCAAACTTTTTCTCAGTTATTGATTTGATTTTCCCCCTTCTCATTAAAATGCAGCTCTCAAGAGACAGAATTTATATAATAATCCTTTCAACTCTATGAGTTACTCAAGTCCTTACAGTCCAAATGCCAGTAGCCCATACAGCAGTGGCTTCAATTCTCCATCCTCAACCCCAGTGCGACCTCCTATAGTCAAACAACTTATACTTCCTGGAAATTCAGGTAAGGAGAAAATAGAATGGAGTTATTAATCAATGGTTTTACACTCACTACCCTACTTCAGAAAATAACTAGTTCAGGTTCCTTTTATTTATGAATTTTTTAACTGCTTAGAGAAAATCTCTTTGAGGAACCGCTTTGCAACAGAAGCTATACTAGGCACCAGGAGTACAAAGATAAGTCAATGTGTTCTATCTATGTAATTTTCTTTAGTATGTACTTAGAAGTTTTTAAATCTGGTCTAATTAAATGGGGTCAGAACCTTGACTCTCTTAATCAATAGATCTTTATCAAATGGCCTGTGTGGGTTATAAAAGCTACAAAGTTAAATACTCTTTAAAGGAGTTTTAATAGGCTTTGATATTAACCATAAGCAATAATATGAGGTTATATGTGAATGTATTAAAAGAGAGATGGGTGCTGTAAGTAACGTGGAAGGGACAGGTTGCAATGAACTGGAGAAAGTATATTCTGCTCTGATTCTATGACTGACACATTCATTTACTCCTATTACTGCTATTATTATGTCTCATTAATTAACCTTACTTTAATTAATTAAGTAACCTTACTTTAAGATTGAGGTATTGTTAACCACTGTAGATTTTCAACCTGTGAGTTCTCTAATCTAAACTTTATTGACCCTGTCCTTTGCCTAGTATATAGTTATTTGATAGTTATTTCTCCTATGCCAATTAAAAAGTTTAATCTGTAATAATTATTATAAAGAATTTGATTCAGGCATTATTTGAGCCTAATCTTGTAGTACTTTTTCTATCATTTGCACTTTGCTCCTTTTTCCTTGATAATGTAAATGTTAATTGTTTTGTATTTTTCTTGCTCTCCTTACATGCCTTTCATGTTGGAACTGACTCTTATGGTGAAGAAATGTGGAAAACAAGTGTTTCAAATCTGTATTAGAAATATTAGTGACAGTGTTAGGATTTTATTATTCTACAATAGAAGTTGATGAGCACATAAAAGTATTTGCCTAGAAAAGCATGTATTCTTTATTCTTCTGATCTGTCTCCCTTTTGCTTTAGAATGATAAAGTACTCTTTTTTAAATCTAGTTATTTTCTTCATCCCATCTTTTGTGCTTCACCACTAAATCTCAGCACACCTTGGATCCCCACTACAAATTTTCCAGAAGAATTTTGTAAACATGGCATCATACAGGAGAAATTGGCCTAGTGTTCTTTTTTTTTTTTGGTTTATTTTTAAATGTCTAAGGAATCCAATTTTCCTCAAATTATAGAGTTTTCTTGTTTAGGAAAAACAGATGCTTTTATTAAGTGAAAATATGATGGTTCTTGTTAATGACTGATTTTGAGAGAAGAAAATACTACATCATAGATTCATCTACTTTGTAGAGCAATTTCATTGACTTTGTTGTAAAGGTTGAAATCCTCTAGCCTAGAGTTATTTGATAACATCTGTTTTCCAGGCACTGGGTTGAATTGTTCTCTGTAAAGGAATAGATAAATTATATTAAATGAAAAAGAGTTTTGTGTTCATGCCATAGTATATAAATGAGTTTCTATAGCCCTCATTTTTCTTAATAAGATCCATTTCTAATTTCATTATATGTTCAGTATTTTGCAAACAAAGGGCAGAACAATAATGATCTGCAGCAAAGGATATAATATCTAGTTGATTGCAACAGGTATTTTTTCAATTTTGGTCTTATTAAAGTTTGATATTTTTTTTTCTCAAGGTAACTTCAAAAGTTCATCAGACAGAAATCCTCCGCTCAGTCCTCAATCCTCTATAGATAGTGAGTTAAGTGCTTCAGAATTAGATGAAGATTCAATTGGATCCAATTATAAGTTAAATGATGTAACTGATGTGCAGATTCTAGCCCGGATGCAGGAAGAAAGTAAGTATTTTAATTGCCAACAGTTGAGATTTTTGCAGGGCATGGTGGCACATGCCTGTAATCCTAGTTACTCAGGAGACTGAGGCAGGAGGATTACAAGTTTGAGGCCAGCCTGGCCAACTTAGACCCTGTCTTAACATAAAAAATTAGAAGATATGAGATGTAGCTCAGTTGTAAAGCACCCTGGGGTTCCATCTCCAGTACCAGAAAACATGAGGGGAAAAAAGGGGCTTTTTTATTTCTTTTACTACTATATGATTTTATTGTAGGTATTAAATATGTCTTGTGAGAATAGTAATACAGTGAAAGTAAAAATTTTTAAATGGACACTTCAGAGACTTGTTCACATATGTACTTGTTTATTCATTTTCAGAGTTTATTTTACATAGGGCAGTTTTGCTATATGAAAGGCAGAGAAAAGCATATTATGCTTAGCAAACTAACTGTGTGTTACTTTGTATCTGCACTCAGAAGTGGGATTATTCCTCTATTACTGTGTGTCTTTTATTGTAAATCAGTGTTTCTCAACCTTTTTTAAAAAACTTGCTCCCCTAAAGAGCCTTTTTAGATCTTTTAGATCTTCCTTTTTACCTACCTCCTCCCCCATGAATTTTAAAAATCACTGTTGTACACTCTATTTAAGTACTATGAGGGCCGCTAGCTATTGTGATATTCTTCTTGGTGACAGATATCACTCTCTTGAGAAACCACAAATTTATTTTAAAAAAAAAAAATCTATGAGGACTAGGATTGTGGCTCAGTAGTAGAGCACTTGCCCAACATGTGTGAGGCACTGGGTTCGATTCTGTTCTCAGCACCACATATAAACAAATAAGTAAAAATAAAAGATTCATCCACAACTAGAAGTGTGTGTGTGTATTTAAAAAAGAAACCGAACTTGTGACATTAAATTAAATGAAGCATGTGATGGTACTTTCAGCATGGTCCTTGAAACTGTCTAGAAACTGTCTTGAGAATGTAGTAAAAATTATAGCCTCCATCATCTCCAAAATATACATAAACATGAAATTTTTCATACTATTTCAAAGGTTCATGGATGTCCTGGCTCTAATTTGAATGTAAGGTGGTTGTGGTAGTTTTGTTCTTGCTGGTGCATCTCATAAGATGCCATATACTAAAGTGTGAAGTAAGAAATATCTGTAAAGTGATCCCTTTAACCTTTTCAATGAAAAGCTCCTTGAAATACACATTTCAGAGTCTTGGCAATTAGCTGATGAGAATTGCTAAAATTTATTTTAAAACCTTTGGTTTTACTTAGAGCATAATCTTTTCTTTAAATGTGTAGTAAGCTTTATCAAGCTATAACATTAAGAAAGTGTAGAATGTTTCTTCCTCTGCTGATTCAGTTCCCATTTATAATACTGCTGGAAAGATAGGAGATTGACTTATTCTTTATTTCTTGTTAGCTCTAAAAACTAATGACATGTTAGCCATTTCTTCTGTAATTTTATTTTAACTCCTCACTGATTCTGTGGCATTAAACAAGTCAGAAGCTAATTATTCATAGATATGAAAGGAAAAAAAGAATGCCATCTAGTTCTATACCTTGGAGTAAACTCACTCATTTCTTGTTTGAAACCTGACTTTAGACACTAATATTTTGTTAAAAGCTCAGTCAACGGTTTAGTGCAGCTTTTATATTGTGTTTTGGTAAAATAATAGAATTTTAGCCTCTCGGTACTTCAGTAATCCTTTTTCCACATACATGAATATTTATTTTCTCAGTAAATTAAAAAAAAAAAAAGACACTGCTAAAAATATATGGTATACTCCCTTAAAAACAAGTCGTTCCTTCTCCCTTTTTAAATATATGAGTTTCTTTTTTTACAACATAATTCTTCCAGGATTTCTATTATAATTAGAGATACAAAATTGCAGATTTAGATTGTACCTAGTTGAGCTTTCTGGTTTTTAAAATGAGAAATGCAAAATCCTATTGTGAGTGTGACTTTCTTAGCATCCTCTTGTTAGACTACATCGAGGTTTGGATTTTTCTTTTCTGAAAACAATGCTCTTTCACTGGTCTGTTGTCTTTTGTTAGATGACATTAGTGCCATATTTGTTATAACTAGACACTGAGAAACTGTCAGTTCCTCAGTCTGACCGAAGGGTGAACTGGACCCCAAGAATTTTTAGTGTGTGTATTGCTAAGAATTGAACCCAGGGTCTCAGGCATGCCAGGCAAGCACTCCACCAATGAGCTGCATCCCCAACAATTTGTAGTTATAAAGATATCCTGGAGTGATTCTAAGATAAGAATCACTAGTTTGGGGAACTTGTTAACAGCATTTTCTGTGTGTAAATATATAACTACTCTATGACATCCTTTTTTACTGGATTGCCAATAGTTAGCAGGACTTGCTTAAATTACCTAGATTCTGTGATTTTTTGCATTATAATGTTGATTCAAGGATTAAGTATCTAAGGAGTTTATTTGCTTGGTGATATATTCTGTTCACTGCTTGCACAGTAATTGTTTTCCTTCAGTGTTCCTTTAATATTAATCTCAAATTTGGATTGTTATGTGTAGGGGTAGAAGTATTTTAAATTTATGTTTCTACCTTGTAATTTCAGATTCAAGTGAAATCTAGAAATTGGGCAAAGGTTTCTACTTTATACTGCTTGAATTTTTCAATGATAATTTTTTTACTTTTACATTTAAAAAAAATCTTTAAATAATCAAAAATATAGTTAAAGAAATAACATATTCATTGTTGCCAGGTCTCCGGCAGGAATATGCAGCCACCACTTCTCGGCGCAGTTCTGGTTCATCTTGCAATTCTACAAGACGGGGTACTTTTAGTGATCAGGAACTTGATGCACAAAGTTTAGATGATGAAGATGACAATATGCATCATGCAGTATACCCTGCTGTTAACAGGTTTTCACCATCACCACGCAATTCACCTCGACCATCACCTAAGCAGTCGCCCAGAAATTCACCTCGTTCACGATCTCCTGCTCGGGGAATAGAATATAGTAGAGTGTCCCCACAGCCTATGATTAGCCGCTTACAGCAGCCGCGCCTTTCACTTCAAGGCCATCCCACAGATTTACAGACAAGCAATGTTAAAAATGAAGGTAAAACGTAGCAGATTTTTTTCATTAGAATGCTTCTGAAAAAAATCATTCGTATTTCAGTGTGAAAGTAATGTGGTTTTGCCAAGATTTTGTAGTTCAAATAAATAAGAGTTTAGTCAAGTGAGCCATTTTATTCATCGTTTATCAATACAAAAAAAGAAAGTCATTTTAACTTTAGGTGATTGTGTTACTTTTGCTTTATTTTACTCATGAAATGATCTTTGTTTAGATGTAGATTTCAATATATAATTTGCTGTTTCCTTTAAGGATTCTCTTAACCTACCAATTTATATAGACTGTGGGTTGAGTTTTTATTTTTAAATAAGTGCTTCCTGTTTTATTCTATTTTATAATAGGCAGAATGTTTAGGTAAATCTCCTTTGAATCCTAATTAATATTTTAATTCTTTCTCCATCTGAAAGAATGGTTTCATTTTTTAAAAAATTAAAATCATATTTTTGTAGAAAAACTAAGGCGCAGTCTTCCAAACCTGTCCCGTACATCTAATACACAAGTTGACTCAGTGAAAAGCAGCAGAAGTGACTCAAATTTTCAAGTGCCAAATGGAGGAATACCTCGCATGCAACCTCAGGCTTCAGCCAGTAAGTATCTTTCTTATGTTTTCGGGTATAAATTGATTAATGGAAAATAAAAATTATAGATATTTGTGCTGAATGACTATTAAACTGTTACTATAAGATAATCATACTATATTAAAATTTAGAATTTGTCCCTGAAATATCTAATTCCTATTAATACTTATAATTATATGAAACTTTAGTCTCTACCAAATTTTAAAATAAATGAAGTATATTTTTAAGACAATAGATTTTTTTTTTTAAAAAAAGGAACTAGATTTAGCTTTCACTTAAAGAAATTAGAAATAGTAGCCAATATACTATCCAAATGTACATTGCACATGTCCAGGATTCAGGTCATTTTTTTAATAAGTACTTAAATTTTCTCTAAAAATCTCTACTTTTTACATATCTTGGGCCAGAGATATAGCTCAGTGGTAGAATGATTGCCTAGTATGCACAAGGCCCCAGGTTCAATCACCAACACTGCAAAAAATAAAATATCTAAAAGTTTATTATATTTTAGAGCACATCAAAATAAAAATAAACAATTCATTTTTCATACTTGTAGTATAGTAAACCAATATCAAAGTTGAATATGTAGACACATTATTTGTCCTTTTTCCCCAGAAGCTGATAATTAAGGAAAATATATAGGGAATCTGAATATCCTAATTACTAATGTATTCTTTTTAATTTTTTTTATTGTGCTGAGGATCGAACCCAGTGCCTCACATGTGCTAGTCAGGCGCTCTGCCACTGAGCTACACCTCTAGCCCCACTAATTTATTCTTTTGTGGAAAATATGTATGCTGTTTCATAAACATGTTATTTCAATATTATAATAATATACAGACAGAAGAATTTAGACTGATATCATCCTTTTTTTCCTGTATGCATGTACTTGTTTATATTTTTAGCTATAGTAAACTTATTTGTAATTAAAAATGTCAACAAACATTTATGTTAGTGTAGAATTACACTATTGTCAAAATGATTTGGAAAATAAAAAATCCAGAATATCAGCAAGCCTAAAACTTAATATTAAATTTCTTTTATAAAGATTTTAGAAGAATTTTGTTTAAAGTTAGTGTATTGTGAAGCAAAAACCTAATTATCTGTTTTCTCTTGAAATTTTACATATATCTTTGCATAAAAATGTCTTACATATAAAATTTTTATATTTTGATATGTAATTATGTGCATATATAGCAAGTTTTATGCATTTTATTAAATGAATTGGTATTTTATATTTTTTTATGTAAGCTTAAGTTATTTAATGTATGTTGCATTTGTTTCAAGTATTTATTTTTCCAGCTATAAGTGGTAGAGCTTTGGTTCTTACTTGCTGGTCTGCATGAAGCTAACTTTGCAAGGTTGCTTATTTCCACCTATGGGACCACTTCTTTTGCCTTGTTACTATGCCAATCACTATTTTTATATGCTTATTTGCTGTGGCTGCATTATTGTGGATGCTGGCATTCAGATGTAGTATTATGAGAATTCTAATGTGTTTTCCAACTTTTATAGCTATTACCAATTTTCAACTTTCATATTTGGAAAATATGAATGACTTAAAAAGTTTAAGAAAACCAGAGCATTGCACATGTCCTGGATTCAGGTCATTTTCTCAGTTTCTTCAATTAAAGGAAAGAATGTTTGGCAGAGGCATTTTTTTTTTCCCAAAAGACTAATTTACCTTGCTTTCTAAAACTACCAGAGACAGGTTTAGCAGAAAGTTTGGTTTTCAGAAAAATATAGGAATTATTGTTTCAACAATAAGGAGAAGGGGAGTGAAAGCCTTAAGACAATCTACTGACTTTTTTAAATATCCAAAATTTGGCTAGTATTTTGAAAAGTTTAAAGTACTTTGACATGTATTATTTCATATGAATCTCACAAATATCCATTCCTTATTTTTATAGAAAGGGATCAGAGATCCATATAAATTATTTGAATCATGCAAGGTCATATTAACTAGAAAAGTGGCAAAACTAAGGCCAAATTACTCCTTCACATTACTTCCTTGAGACTCCTGGTTTCCTTCCCCTCATTGTTTGGATTACATCATGCTGACCTAATTGCAAATGAGTAGGCATCTTGGAATACATTCTTGGATGACTGTATTAGAAATGATTTGAGATTGAACTGTAAATAAATTTTGAATTATCACAGAGAATAAAGTGTAAGAATATTTTTACATAAGATTCAGAGTATACCCCCAGAGAATAAACATAGAATCAACATTCTGTTCTCAACCTCTCAGTAAAGAGAGCTAAAGGCAGTTTTCAGCTTATGTATAGCCGGACTTATCTGAGGCCCAGGGGGGAGAATTCTTTCTAGATTTTATTTATTAACAAAACACTAAAAGGTTGCACTTGAATCTTATATAATTATGAAACATAAATTGAAATAAATCATTTTACAAGTAAACTAACAGGCTAGTCTAAGAATGAGTAATATTCCTAGAACTTCAATGTAAGAATAAATAGTACAGTGATATTGGATCAGTTATCAAATCACAAAATTTTTTAAATGTAGTGTTTTGGGCTTTACCCCTGGGCATTTTGATTGAATATATTTGAGGTGGAGACCAAGAATCTCTCGTTTCAGAAGTGTCTCAGTTGAAGCCAGGCACAGTGGCACATGCCTGAAATGCCAGCTGCTTGGGAGACTGGGACAGGAGAATTGCAAGTTTGAGGCCAGCCTGGGTAATTTAGTGATACTCTTTCAAAATTTTTTAAAAAGGGGAATGTATTTCAGTAGTTAAGTGCCCCTAGGTTCCATCCCCATTACCAAAAAAAAAAAAAAAAAACGGCTCAGCTGATTTCAGGGCAGATCCAAGTTTGAGAATCACTTATTTGGACTTAATTGTGGAGGACCTTGAATGCTCAGATTTTCTCCAGTAGTCAGTCACTTATGTGTGCCTTAATCATTTAATAGAAGTTGCTGGGTATAAATTATGTTCCTAGCACTGAAAATATAAATGTGTTTGACAGCCAATGCTTTCCAATAGCAGGAAATGATAAGCAGGAACTTCTTTGAGAACAGAGGAGAGGTATTAAAAGTGTGAAGAGTTTTCAAAAAAGACATTTAAAAAATAGCCAACTTAGCTTATATGAGTTGCCAAAGAAAGTTGCCAAGTGCTGTCAAGAAAAGCGATAGAGTGGCAACCTGATTCTAGTGTTTTGTTGTATGACTGAAGCATAAGGTCTGAATGGATGAGGGAGGAGACATGTAGATAGGAAATAGACTGAGAGTTTTTAAATATCATGTTAAGAGTTCACCCTGTAAGCATGAGGAGTCATGATGGACTTTTAATCAAGGTTTCTCTTGGAAACTTTATTTTGATATTATATGGAGAAGGAATAAAGTGAAGAGACTAGAAATCACTTGGAAGGGTATTGCATAATCTGGACCAAAAATGAAGAGTTGAACAAAGGCGGTGTGTGAAGGGAGTGTTTTAGTCAATTTTTTGCTACTGTGACCAACAGACCTGACAAGAACAATTTTAGAAGAGGAAGTTTATTTGGGTCTCAGTTTTAGAGGTGTCAGTCCATAAAAGGCCCACTCCATTGCTCTGTGAGGTGAGGAAGAAGAGTGTGGTAGAGGAAAGTGGCTGGGAACAAGCTACTGGGAAACAGGGAGCTTTCCTTAACACAGACAAAATATATACAACCAAAGGTGTGCCCCCAGGGACACACCTCTTCTAGTCACACCCTACCCGCCTATAGTTACTACCACACAATTAATCCCTATCAGCTGGTTAGGGTAGCTGATTAAGACTCTCATAACCCAATCATTTCACCTCTCAACTTTATTGCATTGTCTCACACTTGAGTTTTTGGGAGACACCTCAACAAGGAGTGATAAAATCTAGGTGTTGTTATTTCTGTTTTAATAAATCTAAGATATGCGACTTGGTAGCCCTGAGAAGGCTGAAGTGGAGAGTCAGCATCAAAGGATGACTAAATGAGAATTTGTAAGTAATAAAAGGTTTTAAACAAAATGTCATGGGTGAGAGAACCCAAGGGTATTTCACTTTAAAATTCATTCATAGTGGCTTATGCTTACTAGTATTAGTACCTGGAGAAGAGTCTTTTTTAACATTCCCCTAAATGATAAAGCTGTGTTCAATAATAATCATGAAATAAAATTAATTAGAGGAGCAATAGCCAGGAAAAAATGCCAACAGTGGAGATATTTTTATTGAACTTTGTGTTTTGTAATTGTCAGTAAAAAATAATAAAATCAATACTATAGTACAGAAAGAAGATGATGGGATTTAAGATTACATTACTCTTTTTCTAAATAAGGAAATATATTTTTACATATTAATTTGTTACAGTAATAAAATTACAGCTTTATCTCTTCAAACAATGTCAATGATTCTTCAGAACTAATCTTTGACTATTGAATCTCAACAAACAGCAGTATACGGAAAATCTTCAGTGTAAAGTTAAGCTGGATAGAGAGTCACAAAATCACATTTTACAATAAATTCCAGAAAGTGCCATACTGTCTAAGCTTTGTGTGTATGTGTGTGGGGTGTGTGTGTGTGTGTGTGTGTGTGTGTGTGGTGCTGGGGGCAGGGAGTAGATCTAGTCTAATGATTTTTTTTAAAGTCTTCACAGTTTAAAAAATTTTAAACACAAGTTCAAAGACACATGTAATGACAAAATTAAGGTAACTCATTGATTTTATAGTCTTTCTATCATCATTGTTTGTTTCTAGTGTACTTATATAGTAATATAGTGTATCACAGGGTAAGAGGCACACACTGTTGAAGTAAGCTTGAAAGATTTCAGATTACTATGAAATAATAATAATTTAAAAGTATCATAATGTTATTAAAATGCAATAGTTTCTATAGCTATTATGTATAATTTAGACCAATAAACCATTTTTTTCTCCAGGGAAGAGTGTTTTTTCTCACTGACTTTGATTATTATTGCTGGAGCATGATAATAGAAAACAGAAACAGGTTGTGGCTCAGTGGTAGAGTGCTCCCCTCGCATGTGTGC